TAATAGAAATTTTCGTTACAGATATGGAAAGTTTCTGCTTGGGAGCCAAGATTTTTTTTGGGACGACATATGTTTGGCATGAATACTGGTCCTGAGTACCTGCAAATGCTGCAGTTGGAAAAGAAAACTGGAAAAACTTTGAACAATAAGGTCAGTAATGAGCACACTATAATTATAGATCTCGTGCTAACATCTTAACAGTCTTTTATTTCAGATCCCCAATAATCTGGCAGATGGACCAAGTGCAGCAGTATTTCGTCAAAAACTTGATCACTTTGATAATAGCATAAACACCACTTGGGATCAGGTAAATTCTCTATGAAGCATTTCCTCAGGAAAACATTCAAACACATTCAGCGCTATTTCTACAACTTTCAATACCGAAATAACCAATCAGAAGTAGTCTTTTTGATGATAGGAGGAGAAGGCCCACAAGATATCGGATGGGTAGGTTTTCCCTCAGAACTTTCAAACCAGGAAGCGCATATGAGCTTAGAGGGATCTTCCAGGTTTCCTATGAGAATTATCCATTTGTGAGCTGGGCAAAGGAGTTTGGAGCTATGATGTTCACTCTGGAACACCGCTTCTATGGAGAAAGTCGTCCTACTCCGTCTGTTCCTACATTTATTTTTGGAGTCCTGTCTTGTTGATTAAACTATTTTAGTAATCAGTCCGTGAAAAATCTTCGCTATCTGAGTAGCCGTCAAGCACTTGAAGATATTAAGTACTTTATTGAATGTATGAACGCGAAATATAGATTGAAGAATCCAAAATGGATAGCGTTTGGTGGATCATACCCAGGTACATATCTTGAAACGCTTCTCATTACCTAACCCATCGCAGCCAGGTGAGAGTGTCGCTTTAGTAACTGTTTCAGTGATATTAAAAACGGTATAATATCAGAACAAGCATAAACATCTCTGCATAGAATTATGATTTTTCCGCCTGAAAATTTTCAAAATGTTAGAACTGCTTGCGATCAATTACGCTATCGACTGGCCAAGAATTTCGGCGAGCCTCGGCTAGTATTTAGGTGATATTAGTGCAACAGAAAAGTATTTTTAAACATTATCGAGCTTTAGCAAGCTCTTTCTTGGTTGTTTTTGTTTATGTTCACTTATATCCTGAAATTTCGAACAGCCATGTTCAGTTTTCATTCCAAAAAAGACTTCAAATTGGTTGAACTCAATTTTTTCGCAATTAAGCAAAATCACATAGTTTAAATAGTTCAATGTAAGTCCTTTTTGAAGTTTCTAAAAAGACATTTCAATCTGTTGCCTTTTACTGTAAAATACATTCTTGCCATATTGTCTCTAGACTTTTGAACAGGTGTTTAGTGATCGATTTATTTCGTTCAACACTT